TCTAGACCCAAACAGCGACCACCTGGCTTTGAAATTCCTCAAAGACACTGGTACCATCATCTGCATAAAAAAATCAGTTGTGCACATCTGCGTCATGAATGTAAAATTAAAGACAAGCCACAATGCGACTGGCCACGCAACCCAAACTAATTGATCCTTTAGTACACCACTGTAGTCTGGGCTCCTTTATTGCAGGAATAGCAAAACTACACAAACTTTCCTGAAGCCCTGTTTTGGTTAGCAGACCTCAGACATTGACCTTTAGCTCCTGAATATATTGCAATATCCAAGAATGTATGTATGTTGAACTTCTATCGCACCGTACGTAGCCAACCATGCTAATCAAAGAATAGAATGTATCCCATTTAGCAATCAACCATATTTTTCTAGAAACATTTTGAGTAGCCCTTTGAATTGTAGAGCCACCATCTTTACTGTACTGGCAACGATCTTTTTTTCATTAAAGTCAGCGCTTTTCCCATTCGCTGTTTTACTTCTTTGGCAAAGATAACTTTTCATTTCCCAAAATGCATCGCTTAAAATCCTTAATGGAATACTCACTTTAAGGTTAACCCTGTTGATGTTAACCCGATGTATTTGTTAATTGACAACTGAGAAGTTGATTAAGTCCTTCATGATACTGGACATGATGAATGTCATATGGCTGTAAAAGTCCATAATAGAGGTTTTTTTGGTTTAGATTGCGTAAATATATAAATGTGTCGTTAAAACCCACCATCACCCGACACACCTAACTAGTAAGGGTTGTCACATATAAATTCGTCACTAGTACAGCACACCGGTGTGTTGTTAAAGTCTTAAGCAAATACTGCCGGCTGTCCTACTCTTTGGCCTATCGATGTGCAATTGCACTTTGTTGATGAAGGCAGCCTGGCTGTTTCACGAAAGTACTTTTCTCGATTACAAGTCTACTATGCATACTCTCAGGTTTTTCGGTAAAGTCACGTCGGTAAAAAATATATAATAAAATTGAAATAATAATAGAAATAAAATAATAAATCACGACGTTTCGGAGGCAACACAAGTCTCCGTCATCAGGTGTGACCGTCACAGCTAGATTTACTGTCTCAAGTGAGGGAAAATTCCAAGAGTCAAGCTCTTAAATGCAAGTTTAAGGGGGGAGGGAAGGGGGTTATCTGAATGTGGAAGCCAATGAGTGGAACGTGTTAGGGGGGGGGGGCTAAAAGAGAACAGTTGGTGCATCTTGTTGATATTTTACTCGATGTTGGTTGACAATCCAAATACAAAAGGAGAGGAGAGTTGTTGGTTGGCAATCCAAATACAACAAAGGAGAGGAGAGTGCTGTTAAACGCTGGAGATGTCAACACTCGGTAAAGTAGAATAGTACCTGTCAAATATGATGGTCCAAATATGTGCAGTTAAATCTTTTTCATGGTTATTTCTATTATTATTTCAATTATATTTGTATTATTTATATTTTACCTACGTGACTTTACCGAAAAACCTAAGAGTATTAATCCTTGCAGTCACGAAAGCTTCAAATCTAGAATCTACTATGCATCCTTAGTACTGTGGTTGATTATCCTGTGTGTGCATAGTGCCCCCTCAGAGGGTGGAGGTTTCAACCCAGGTGTTTTTTTCTTTTCTTTTGGTGGCCACACCAACTGAGGTGCTTCATTATCCAGAATTGGGGCCCACCTTACACATTCTGCGAACAGCACCCTGTGTTCTTATTGTGATGTCTATGGTCACTATGACCTCAATGTACACTATTGGCCTAGTAGCATGGTTACGATGCTACTTTGAATAATGGTGTTTTGTGTGGACATTCATGTTACCAATTAGATTTTCTTTGGCAAAATATTCGTGCCTTTCACAACTATGAAATCTATTTTTACAATAATTATTTGTAGTAATAATACATAGGAAGCACTTTCCCCAGGGATAACTAATATGTTAGTTTAAATCCAAATAATATACAGTGAAGTTTCCATTAACCGCATTGATTTTTGGGGATGCTTTTTGTGGGTCATTTTCTTTATGAGTCTACGAAGACAACTATGTTTTGTGTTTTTTATCGCTGGATATATGTGGATAATAGGAATAGTTTTTGGAACTTGTGGGTGATTCCTTGTATCTGTAGAAGTTTTTATTTATTTATTTTGGTGCCCATGTGTCTAAGTAACTTGAAGAATTTCCTTTTCGTGTTATACCATTTGCAAAAATACTAGCATTTTAATGCTCTTACATTAGCACACCAAGCCACGCATAGTGTGGTCATGTGAGTTGGTGAAATGTTACTATTTTGTTATGCGTATGACACATAGACAGCAAATAGAGCTCTATTTTTTGGCTAAATTAATTGATGTACCGTATTTTCCCGCATATAGCCCGCAGACGCATATACCCCGCAAAAATAGCGTTATGTGTAAAACAAATTTCAGATAGCCCGCACCTCCATATACCCCGCATGCATTAATATCTTTAACGTCGTTACCGCAGCTTAATTCCATTGTATTAATACGAAGTTTACATTTGTAATACATTCCACTCTCAATTGTTAACATTAAAATCATAACGTGCACAAAGAAAACAAACTAACCGGAAACGAGTGAACTTAAAACAGTAAATACGTAACAAAAGTAAATATCCAATAAATAAGTACTGGTAGATTGCGCACTGTGCAGACACACTGTGCAGACAATAGGAGCACTACGGTAACGCCTCTGCTCTCCCGTTGCTGATAAACAAAGTGCGCCCATTTCAAACATTGTCGTTTCATTGTACAAATAATTCGAATCATTTAAAACGTGATAACATGTGCAATTTTAGTGCGAGTAGTTTATTCCGCAGTGCTTTAGTCAAAGACAAGTGTTGCATAGTGGATAGTCCTACCGTGAAAACATTTAACGAGTTATGACGTCACACGTGTAAAATATTTTTGGGATAGCCCGCACCTCCATATACCCCGCAGGGTCTTGTTTTGTTTGTAAAAAGTGGTATACCCCGCGGGTTATATGCGGGAAAATACGGTAATTTAATCGATTTCATATAAAGTGTCTGGGAGACCGCTGCCGAGTTGCTCAAAAAGTGGATAATGTGAATTTGCCACCACGTATAAGTGACTATATTATGATGACTTGAGGAATACTGGTAGACCACTCGTGGGAAACTCTTGTGAGTGGATATATTTATGACATTTACGCCACTGCTGGATGACTTTTCTAAGAACAAATGCATCTAGAAGTAATCTTCAACAAGATTACTTCATAGTGACTTTAAAATGGCTGTAGAGGAGGGGAGTTTATTTGAAGTGTCGTGTATTTTTTAAATCCTTTATATTAAGTTCGCTTGCTTGCTTGCTTGCGTGCTTGCTTGCTTGCTTACGACCGTGCAAATCTTTCGGTCGTTTTTTAACACACTTCCCGTGATCCAATCGAGCTGACATTTTCCACACAGACTCGTTGTGCGTGACAATTAATTTTCGTGAATTTTTTCCCCCAAAATTTTACACTGTTTAGGGAAATTTTTTTAAATATTTAATTACCAATTGCTTAATGCTGGCAGACAATCATCTGACCCATAGGTGGCAGCCATCTCAAGCCAGAGGACGAGAGGACTCTAGCCGCCACGCATATAAAGGATTTATAGTGAAAAACTTTGTTTTTACGGGTTCATTTTTTTTCTATCGTCGTGGATTCCTCTACTTCCATAAGTTCCGTACTTTTTCTTGCTAAAGGCATATCTGTCTTGGACGGTGCTGTTTTTAAAGAATGTGTAGCGAGAAGGTTTGCTGCTGAAATCAAGTGTATCAAGACATACAGTGCATAGCAATGTGTGCATACAGTCCACAGTTCCCCTCTTGATTTACATCTGTATTTACTTCTAGCCATTGCTTTTGAAACTTCATTCCTCTGCCCTGTTTAGCTTTATATATACAAACATTGACTGGCATGCATTCGTTGAGTGGTGGACATGATTGGTTAGACCTCTTGGGTTAGGTTATGTTGTTCTGTGCTGTAGACCAAGACGACTTCACATGTTATCAAGAAAAAACAACTAAACCCATAGAGCAATTCACTCCTAAGTTTACCGCCAAAGGGGGGTGGCACGGTGGTGCAGTGGTAACACTTGTGCCTCACAGCAGGACGAACCTAGGTTCAATTTCTGACTCCAGTGCCTTTCTGTGTGGAGTTTGTATGTTCTCCCTTTGTTCCCATGGGTTTCCTCTGGGTTTTCTGGTTAACTCTATCGCTAAAACTAACATACAATGTAACTTTTCTTGGCCAACTTCCCAATGTTGAAAATTCCCTTCAAATTACTCAGGATGAGAAGCAGACAGGGATGCTCCTGAGAAAGAGTCATTGAGACTTTTACGTGCAAATAATTGTAATCAGTTAATAAATAAACCACACAAATAACCAATACCAGTGACTAGATCTATACAATTTTGGTTGGCAACAAAGTACCTTATAAAAAAAATGCTGTGATGTGTATCAACACAACTAGTTCACATGTACTTAATGCATGCACTGGGGATTGAGCGTGCAGCCCATCTTGTTCATGAATTTCAATATGCCTTCGCTCGTGTTTTTATACACATTAGTACAGTGCAATTTTTTTTACAAAATAGAGCAACTCGTAATGCATTTGCTGAGAGTTTTGTTTTACACTTAATTATGGGGTCTTGTACATAGGTAATCTGGCATAAAGCACAAAGTGCTAAATAACAGTTACCCTGTCTTTTAAATGTTCTGCATATTGAACGGTGGTAATTTTAGGCACAAAAAACATGCATTAAATGTATGTCTTTAAGTTGCCTAACTTTGGTATGCATTTTCATCGTCCATTATTGGAGATGAAATGTATTGAAATGTATGTAATGTGTTTGCATTTTGAGATGAACACAATAAATAATGCTCTACCTGTTGGAGTCAAAAGCTGAGGCATGGGGACCCCCCTGCATATTTAGATGCACACGGCTGTTCTCAGTGGTCAATGTGTTGTCCCCATTGCAGGATTTGCCTCGCACACGATGAGTGCTCTCAGGGAAAGTGCCGTGGATCCCGGCCTCTCCGAGTCGCGCAAGCGCAAGTCCTCATCCTCGTCGGATCCACTCAAGACGAGGTAAGGGGGGTCCATTGCATTGAAAATGTGTGTGACCTTTGCCGAAAAATATATTTGCCGTTGTAAATTTGTGGACAGCACTCCTCGTCACCGGTGCAACTTTACACTTTGATGCGGTTCCTTCACGAAGGTGCTTGAGGATTGTCAACCTTATTTGCTCAAAAGACATTTGCTCGCCAGTGATAGGATTGGAATATATATTTGCATGTATTCAGAAAGAGGTCTAATCGCATGAAATTATAAACTTGCATAGTGTATTTTTTCATTGTCAGCCATGGATAATCCGCTTATGGATGAAGACTTCCCCAAGTCACCGCCATCTCTTGATCACCTCGCAGTTACCAACGAGCTGATTTCATTGCACCATCTCCTTGTTGGGCATCGTCAAGACGCGTTTCATTCCTTGGCCGCCCCTCATTCATTATTCTGCATCATTGATTTGATTATATGTTTGGGAAATAATGCAAAAGATAAAACTTGCATCTTTTATGCATGTACTGAAGTTTGTGATTACGAAAAAATATTTTCTCTAAAATTCTATATACGTATTCAATGTTCCTCCAGTCATGGTTTCACCTTTGTACACTTGTAATTATATTCACCAATTCTAGATTTGAAGCTTTCGTGACTGCAACGATTCATACTCTTAGTTCTTTCGGTAAAGTCTTTCGGTAAAGTCACGTACTTTACCGAAAGAACTAAGAGTATATATTCACCAATTATACATGCACATAAACTAAAATCCACTTACAAGAGAATGTGCAGTGATAATCGTAATAACAAATACACACCAAATAAATGTGCATTACATTTGTCACAAAACTCATGGTGTAGTCTCCCTTGCAAGCTGATTCCATTAGTCATGAATTTTGGCAGGGTATGTAGCTTGTGCCTTGAAGCTGTTTTGATTTCAAGGGTGGAATTCTGAAGATGGCAATCCTGGCCTCATTTTTTCACTTTTTTTTGCAAAGCAGCATGCTGTATGAGTGATGCTGTGAAGAAGGGTCCATTGAAACCTTTTGATGTTGTTTGGTCCAGAGGAAAATAAAGGATTGCCCTTTGTGACTATTCTTTAATGTTTTTCTTTAAAGTGGACACTTGCAACTCGATGAAGGTTTATGAAGGGAACAAACCCGGCTTGAAATGTACACTGCCAAGCTTTCTGCTTTAAAATGTTCATTTTTTCCACCAACACGACTCTTTCTTTTACCCTCTCTCATGAATACATTTGTCAATTTGTGAGATACGCCATTGCTCTGCAGCAATCATGGTGTGGCAGGTGATGCCACTTCCTTCTTACCCACGCATCTTTCCTGTTGGTTGTTTTCAAAAGAGGAGCCCATAAATGTCTCTGCCTCTTCATTAAAAGGGGGTGTCGGTGTTAGCTAACTTCACATTGGGTTGCCTCGGGACCCCATAGCACAAACAGTAAGTCTAGATGATCGGCGGTCTGACCCTTGCCACACAATGCCCCACATGGCTTCAGGAGAAGATGCTTGGCAGGACGGGGACAGTTGTGGCCTAAGAAAGATAAATGTAGTTGACCTCCTTCCTACAGCAAGACAAATGAGCAGCTTGTCCAGGCCAGTGGACACAATGCATCCACGCACAATAGCACTTCATTATTTGCCCTTTGAACAATGTTTCAAAGTTACCAAGCGAGTTGTGTAAGTTTTGAGAAAATTAATTGTGCCATCCATGTAAAAGTCTAATGATTAGTACCATCTTGTACCTATTCATATGATGTTGCACAATTCTTTTATTTTAGTTTATTTGTACCATTTGCAAGGACAAATAATGACTTCAAAAAATTACATCGTAATGTTAGCGTTCATTACAAAGAGAGCAATAGTGCACTGTAAGTCCATGAGCATATGGGCACTCGAAATATGACGAGTCTCTGATTGAAAGTGCTCCAACTCAGCGAGTTGGAGAAGAAGCAAGATATCTGGAATATTGGTGACTTGTTTTTCTGGATGGAAGCTTAAAGTTTTGGTTTAAATGTCGACAAAGACAAGGAATGCATAATGGCTGCGGTGTTGACAAGAGTTGACCCCGGATCTTATAACTAATGGAAAATGCCAACGAAGCAGTACTTTTTTTTGTTATAGCACGTAATTTTGAGTTTCCAGTGTTTACTGGCAAGTTCAAAGCATCTATAGCTCTCCTACAACATAAATGAATCCACATGTGGAGCACTTTTATTTATATGTAATGCTTGCCATGCCTGCATTTTCTTTCTCCAACTTTTAATTCATCTGGGATGAATTCAAGAGTTGGGGATGGGGGGTGGGGGATCTTCTTTTGAGAATTGTGATGGAGTCCCATCAGGTTTCTTAGAGAACTTGTACACCAATGATTGTGTCTATGCAGTCAAAAACCGCGTGTAGCCATAATTAAACCAGGAGGGCAAACACAGATTTCAAGCTCAAACACGTTTTCTCGAAAGCCAAGGAGAATAACATACAGTACAAACCAAGCTTCACGTGTGCATGACCTATATTTGTGTAAGTAATGGATGTCAAGAAAATAGGATGTTTCTTACTGCGTCCCATAAGTCCCGTCATCGCATTTCCATGTCCTGCAGCACATTATCATGGGGCAATCTTTGCATGTCATCTCTTCCATGAAATCATTCACAGGTGCTAGAATTTGGGGGTGAGGTTAATCATTATTTTGGTTCATATTGACACAAAATACCCAAATGTGAAGTTTTAAAATGAAGGATTCCTTTTATCAGCAGCAGCAACAGTCACGATCTATCCACTGCTCGTTGCAGGCCTCCCCAAGCCATATATCACATTGTGATGCGACAACCAATCTGGCTCCCGCATTTGAGTTGGTTTATTTGCTCCATCTCCACCTTGCTTGTTGCCTTGGGAATATGTCACTGCCACCCTCCTATCCCGTTCACCTCTCCGAGGAGATCTACTTGTAAGGTTCGGGCCATGTTGACTTCATTGTCCTTTTTCCATGGGCACATGCGAGCTGATCCAACACCGAGCCCTCATTGTTTGAGCTTTTCCACTGGCTAATTTCCGTGCCGAGCTGTGACCAACCCATGGCACTCTGGTCGCATAAGAAGTCTGGATCTGGCTCGGTGGCAGGCAGGGCCAGGTGTGGCACTTATGACGTGTTAATTGCGCATAACATCAGTAGCCCGATGACGTCATGGCTCGGGTTTTTCAGTGCATAAACAACTCGCTGCATCTTGAGCCACACTAGTCTGGCTCAGCACGGCCTCATTATTGCTTGTTGGTACAGTGAACAAAACTTTTAAGGATCTCCATTTGGCAGCCGGGAGCTGCTCAGGTCATGGGTTGGTTTTAATCTCTTTGGATGTTACTTGGAAAAGGATGACTAAACCTGGATGCAATTGGTGGAGAGATTCTGTGGTTTAGGACTGTACCATGATTAACATAGCATGAAGTGGGCCGGGGGGGGGGGTAATGGACTGCACCAACTGCTAGTGTCCTCGTGCGTGCATGCACTGCTTGGGGTTATTGGTAGAGTCGAGTAGAAGTGTACTCTCCCACAGTATATTATGTCTGCAGGAGGCTGTTGATTAAATAAAATAATAATTTGATGAGATCTGGCGGTGGTACATGTGCTATACAAATATAATTTTCCAAATGTTTAAGTTTTATCTATAATTCATTCAGCAGAATATTCTGCTCATCTACATTATCTACCCCCATGTTTGTCTCTGGTTGAAAGTGATAATTGTAATGCATGCATTACATTATATTAGAAGCACAGGTGGGATACAAACGGGTCTTCAAACAAAATGAATACATTTTGTAGTACAGGTCTGTGAATTATTGCAGTTTCTTTCATGGTGGTGTCATTGATTCTGAAATGTTCTACTGAAGAATAGCACTCCACATAGGTTGGCAAAAGTATTTTCATTTTTGTTGCTACTTTAAATTTGTAACACTGCCTCGATTAAACCCAGCTCATATTTTAATGCAGCGTAGCTGTAATTTCCAAATTCATTCATGAATCCTGTAGGGCAAAATGTATCTAGACTAGCAAATTGGCAATGTAAGTGCCAAACAGCCGATATTTCAATGTCATCTAAGAATACAAATATTAATCTTCTTGGTTCTTTCGGTAAAGTCACGTAGAAGGGAAATAATAAAATAATAAAAATAAAACATAATAAATTAATTCTCACGACGTTTCGGCCACAACGCAGGTTTGTCGGGGAGACAGCATCAGACGCTGTCTCCCCGACAGACCTGGTCTTCACCTGAGGACGGCTGCTTGCGTTGTGGCCGAAACGTCGTGAGAATTAATTTATTATGTTTTATTATTATTATATTATTTCCCTTCTATGTGATTTTACCGAAAAAACCAAGAAGATGAATCCCTGCAGTCACGAAAGCTTTTAATCGAAAAATAAAAAGATTGTGTGCATCCATAAACTATGATGATTAACAACTGTGTTCGTCTTGACGGGTTCTTATAGGTGCACATAGTTGCCTCTCGTGTATATACACAAACTGAAAGTTGTGAATTATTGCACCTTGTGCCCTTTACTGCCTTGCCTATTTGCCACAATCCTCCGGAGGTGGTGACAAAAAACAAAGAGCCGCATGATTGACCTTCCGACTTGCAGTACCAGACCACGAAAAGACTGCTGGGCAACTGAACTTTTCAGCTTGCATTTACGTCGGCATTTGCATCGGTCGTGACTGCAGCGCAGGTACTAAGTGAAATGTACAATTGCCTTCCCATCGTTACCATGGCTACCATATTGGATCCTCACGCTTTGGTCAATTTAAAGCGAGCCCCATCGGTCGTGGGTAAGTGTGACAGTGGCCGTAGTGATCAACCGCTGTTTTTAATTTACAGAGATGATTGTCTTCATGTGCCACAGCCCAAGAGCTGTGATATAGTCTGATGCGTTGTGTTCAAATGTACGAAAATGTGAATTTTTAAGTCGTATGGCTAAGGCAGAAGCTTGGTGGGTGCAGTGATAACCAGGCTCTCTGATACACATATTTGGTTTTTTATGCATCGGCATTTAGCCTGGTCTCTATACATTGAATTGTCAGACTGGCCATACACTTCATCAGCTGAACCATGAATGTACACGGTAGGACCAACACCTCGGCCGTGGCTGATCATTGTTTTAATGCGGTGGGCTCACACGGAATTGATTTCTCTAAGACGAAGGTACTTTTCAAACCCACTGGCTATCAACAAAGATTAGTTCATGAAGCCATCCAGATATATAGACACAGACACAATTTCAACCGAGAAGATGGGTAAAAACTGAGCAATCAGTGGAAGGACGTTATTAACCAGTTTAAGGCATAACTGGCTGTGATGTTTCCATCCTGCCTTGCGATGTTCGTTGTTATTTGCGACTCTCTGATTTTACATTAACAGGTTAAATTCTTCAGCCACCTTGTGCACCGACGTGGCTGTGGCTCTGCGATCTTATATTACATGCTAATTTCTCCACATTAACAGCGCCACCTCTGCACACTCGTCATGGAGGTTGCCCTCCGATCTCCCGTTAACATGCTAATTTATCTCACATTCACATCAATAGCCCTGCCAACTTCGTTTATGACCCTTGGGCTCCACCCATTTCAAACCTTTAAAACAGCCTGCCTCGGCAGCTTTCCTCTCTCTTTTCAGCTGATGACGACCGCTTGCGTTGAAATCGAAACGTCGTAGGTTTTTGTTATTTTTATTATTTTCTTTGAACCTATCTACGTGACTTTACCGAAAGACCCAAAGAATATCTATATAATCATGTTAGGAATATAAATGTCGCCATGTTTTTCTGCTTCCTAATGAAACCTGACGGACTATTTTTTTCCCTTTCAAATTGTGTAGGGTTGAATGTATGGCTGTTCTATTTCGTTGAATACCTCAATGTTGAAAATAAATTGCATGGTTTAATTTTTGTTTGGTACATTGTAACCATTTCCATCACTTTGCCTTGTCAAGAGGCCTTTACTCAGCTGTCCACTGCCAGAAGAATTTTACAGATTTGTAAAGGGGCTTTTGGTGCATTGTCTCCTGCAAGCCTTGCCAAGGACAGGAATGTATTTGTGTCAGATCTGTATTTGCGATTGCAACTAGTGTTATGTATGTATGCATGTTGAACTTCTTTCGCACCTTACCTAGCCAGCCGTGCTAATCAAAAGTGTGGGGGAAGGACAAGCTAGTGGTTGGTTGTGTACAGTGCGAAAGAAGTTCAACATACGTACATGGATCCTGCAGGAATCACAATTATTCTATTGCTGATTCTCACGTTGATTTAAGTATATACACACATCAATGAGTGAGCATGTTTGTGTGCATGCAACCATAAATCAGATAACATTATGTATATTATATTCTATAAAATAAATTGTTTAGATTTTGATTATTTTATTATTTCCCTTCTACGTGACTTTACCGAAAGAACCAAGAATATGAATCCCTGCAGTCACGGAAGCTTTAAATCGAAATTATGTATATTCTTTGGTTCTTTTGGTAAACTCGCGTAGATAAAAAAAATAAAAATAAAAATGTAAAATACAAATAAATTCCACACGGCAACAGGGAGAACATGCAATCTCCAAATATATAGCAGGCGTCAGGGTTGGGATCGAATCCACGACCTGTATACCAGTCGAGGGAGACAATATCTTGCAACCGGGGCATTGACCGTACCTGCTTTGTTTTTCTCTCTTTCTCTATTTCTGTATTCGCAGTGCGAAATGCACGGCGGAACAGCTACGTCGCGAGCAGGAAAACAAATACATCGAAGAGCTTGCAGAGCTCATCTCGGCCAACATCAGCGACATCGACAACCTCAATGTGAAGCCCGACAAGTGCGCTATCCTCAAGGAGACCGTCAACCAGATTCGCCAGATCAAGCGGCAGGAGTTGGGTACGTGTGACTCGTAAGCTGCTCAAAAGTAGTGCACGCTAGAACAGTTGTGCTGACCACGACGGGAAGGTGTGCTGCTGTCGACCACTCGTGTACACTCGCTAATTGCCCTCAGAGCAGGCACAATCGGACACATGGTATACACGTGTTTGCTAATGGATAGCTCTGTGTAGTTTTGCAGTTAAGAGCGCTCGGATGCTTTTTTCGGGTTTAAACGATTGTTGTTGTTGTTCAGCACGATGTCCGATGAATGCGCTCCCAGCACGTGGAGAAAAAACTTTATTAGCTCCCGGCATGTGGAGTGAAACGGCGGACATCGTATCGAAAAACACCATGGTACAGTCCGAAAACGTGTGCTGTACACTGAACAGAGCAGGATGCTAGGAGATAGGTAATTGTCGATTGTTATCCAGTGCTGGATCACAACGCACCTGATTAGCATGGTTGGCTATGTACGGTGTGAAAGAAGTTCAACATACGTACACACAACATGTACATGTGCCTAAGTGTGTCAATAAAGATGCATGCATATGCGAGTGTGCATTTTTATTAACACTATCAGCTTGTCTTTGTGTTTTTAGAATTTGTCAGATTGTGCCTGATTTTGAAGACAATATTAGTAAGCTATTGTAAAGCTACAACGTTACTCAGTGTTGGAATAGATTGCTTAGTGCTGAATTCTGACAGCATAATTATAGTCAAGTCCGGTGTTGTAACGCTGAATATTAAAAGTATGTTTCATGAATTCATCAAACAGTCACATTCAGTTAATGTGGTTGTCATGTGGATATATTATGCAGATGTTCTCCCTGGTGTACAGCATATCTACATTAATTATCAAGCATCTTCTTTTGATGCCTTTTATTTAAAAACATGCATATGAATGAAATTATCAAATATATTGTATCTTAATTGGTAGCAAAGTGTTTGTGTGTTGTGCAAAAAGATTTGTATCATGGAATGTTTCAGTCAGAGCTGGAATGATTAGCATATCAAGTCCACTAAAATTTCTCATCGGCTACTTTATTGTTGTCGATTAAGCTGTGACCCCCTTCAAAATATCGGCTGTCATGACAACCCACAACCAGCATGGCATGGCTGATGTTGCTGATGGAGTCATTAGGTCCTTCCCTTTATCTCCCATCCAGTAGCACACATGGACACAGGTAGGACTTGTAATTCTCCAACAGGTAGAGTAATCGATTATTTAAATAATATTATAGTCCGCGTCGAGCTTTACTTCCTTAAATGAAATTTTACATGACAATAAAGTACCGTGACCAATGAAGAAAAGTTTCATAATCAACGTTTTTGGGTTTAGATCGCGTTTAAACCCAAAAACGTTGATTATGAATAATATTGGTCGCGAAAGCCTCCGTGTTAAACTGAAGAAAAGTTTATCAAATGTATCTCTTGCCAGTGGCAACAGATAATGTTATTCCTGACATTAGACTCGAACATAGTGCACACATGTATTTTCAGGGAAACTCAAGATATGATTTATACAGTGCCATTGGATTTTTATTCCCAACATTTGTTGAAATATAGGCTCCATGACCATAATTGTGTTTTCGCTGCATCGTTGGAAAATTTCAAAGCAGAGTCTTTAACAAGTGTCACAAATGAAAATCCCAGTGGGCCTCTCAGTCACACACTTTTGGAAGTGGAGCTTCTTACATCACAAATGTTGATATAGGATCACGGTGGTAGAAGGTGACCATGACCTGTATGATGTTTCTTGTAATATAAACTGCACAGCCTATTTGATTTCCAAAACATGGCAGGCAAGTTCAATAAATTAAAAAGGTGTACAATTTCTTGTTTTCATTTCTGTTCCCAATCCCTCAACATGAATAACCAAAAATGTGTACTTCTTGTCACCAGGTACTCTTTTGTAAACATTGTAATAGATGACATTTTATTAAAATTATATTCCCTATAGCATAACCTGGCCTAGCCAATGATTTTTCCTAAACTCTGGTTTGTTTCAACATTATCATAAACTTTAGAGGATCGCAGCTATCTTTTCTGCGAAAGTAGAACTAGGTTATTTCTGCTTACCTCTCATCCCTTTCCCAAAGTCTCGATTTTTAATTGGCAAGGAGTGCTATTCCATGTTCACCAGAACTGTTCTGGTCAGCTTGAGCTGCAACCTCATTGCATGTTTTTGACAAATTTTAAAGTGTGGATGTAATTGAAGCAAATTTTATAACAGGGCACTGTGTATAAATGCATTAGCAGACCCACATTATCCATTTGCGTCGCACTGTTTGAAAACAAGCGTAAAATATCATGATTTAAAAATGTGTGTCTGAACTAAGGCCGTAATTATAATATATATTGGGGGGGGGGGGGGACATCCCCCTCAATATTCAAATATGCTCTAAATGTTCCCCCCAATATATTGCTTTAAAATATATTTCTGTTTATATGATTGTGATTATGGTTGTACTTGATTAATCCCTAATCTCTGCCATTACATACAATGAAACAAGAAAAGGCAAAAGAGAAAAAACAGAGCAATGTAATACAATACACTATGAGACATTATTGTAAAAGATTAATAAAAAGTCCATCCTATGTGTTGGTGAATTTTTTTATATTTTAGTCAGGAAATGGCAGGAAATTCATTTGTAATTAAGATGTTTTTTTCTGGGGGAGGACCCGCAGACCCCCTGGAAGATTTGGCCCCCCCCAATGTTGACTCCATGGCTACGGCCTTGGTCTGAACCTACCTCTTTCCTTTGTCCTTTTTTTTAAGTAGATGTATGCCTACACTTTACCATTGTGATTCAACTGTTCCATTGATTAATCTTATGAATCATAACCCATTAACCTATCTTCATCCATTCACACGTGGGCACTGCCTAAGTGCAGGACATAGTGCCGAGAGCCCATTGGAGTTATTTCTCACAGGCATTTAGTCATCTGACAATAAACACTCAATATTGTGCCCACAAGACTATCCATTGGTTTACCCATTTCCGGTCTGCTGTGGTGATTGGCTGACCTTTGGGAATGATTGGCAGCCAAGATCGATGGATTCTCACTGGGGAATGTAGCTAAAAGTTTCTTTAATGTCGATCCATTTGGCTCGCTCGATGTTAATGGGGCCAGGGTTAAATGAGCTGAAAGTAAATATTCTGAAATGGATATGTAAATAAGCAGTGATTTTTTTCGGTTTAATTTGTACATTGTTGGCAAAGCCTGAAAGTTAATTCAAAATCACATGACAAATGGCAGCTTGCAATTAGAATTAGCATTTTTGTTTTGAGTCAACAAACAATGTTCCTCATCACTTGTAATCAGAATCATACTTAAGCTGCTTTATATAAATTGGATGTTACAAAACAAAGTTAATTTTAAGTTGTATTCTAAAATAACAATAATAAATTACAGTCACTTCATGTGAATACTATCATGTAAAAATAATAATGAACCTCTATCAATTGATTGCATTTCTGTACATTCTTTTGGAAATGTGAAGAGGTGATCACTGGGGAAATATTCTGCAAAATAGCGGCTCGGTACAGCAAAGCGAGAGTCGAAGTCCTCAGCATGTTGCACTTTGGGAAAGCATCATTAAGTAGCTGTCACTGCTATCGACGGGAGGAAAGCAAAGCCCTGCCACAATCGATCATTTAGAGAGCCTTTTGTAGACATGCTTGGTGCGGAAGGCCTTGCCTATGTGCTCTCTGTTCAAGTTTCACCTTTCCGCTTAACCTCATTTTAAATGGTTTACTCTTTTTTTAAGTATTCATATGTTTATCAGCACACTAAGCTGAGAATTGTGTTTTTTAATGTACATGTAATATGTATACCATATGTTATTAGGGTGCTCTATTTCACAGTGCAGAAGCCACTGCACATATTACTATGCCAGGAACGAACGAACGGCACGTTATCGTACTCTTCAGGAGGGTCAGACCCCTGTCCCTCCTCTGGTAATTTAACATCATTGTAGTAAAACGTCTTGAAGCTGGACTCGAGTAAGCCAGAATTCAGAGGGTTTGCGGGAAAGTTTTAACTGAAGTGAACGAGTATGGAAATTGACCAAACAACCCTCAGACTAGTTGAGGTGGTCGGCAATGCTCTTGCAAACTACAGTGAAGTGTAAGATGCTGCCACTGGCCATTGCAATAAATACAATTGACGTGCGTTTGTGAGCTGACAAAAAACCACGTGCTTATCTGTCGTGTGGAATGAATAGAAATTGAACACAAGCTGAAGAAGTGAACTTGGCCAATGTTGTCGATGCTGCTCACCTTGCCATCGTTTCCTTGAGAACTCATGCTATGATGTGGTGGTGGTGGTTGGTAGAGCTATGACTAAAGCAACCACTTTTAATCTCGTGTCTGTGGTGTCACCTCTGCTCTTGTAATTCATTACATCAGGGGTCGTACAATTATAAACGAGTCCCTTTATCCACCATGCCTAGATGACTTCCGTGTGTCATTTAGCAAATTCACACGACGAGACCAAGATTGTTAGGCGAAAACATACGATTAAAAACATAATATGTTATGACCGGTACCATTGAGAAAGATAGTTTATGGTAGACTCTAATGTCCTGAATGGAGTCACTCTGTTGAGAAAGCATACATGACTCGGACATATGTTGGGTCTGAAATCTATCAGCATGTGTTGGCAGTTATTCCTCGGTATTAGTGGGTGCAGCAGTTTTTCTGGCACAGTCCAGCATGGCCCTGTATGACCTGGGGATCTAGTGTCTTTGAGGGGCTGTAACAATACAGGGTTGGAATGGGGTTGTTCTCTTGACATCTCTGCATCGCACCTGTCGGAAGGGCCTTATCCAAAAGAAGGCACATCCCGTGTGCAATGCTTGCGATGGCTTGTGCTGCTGTTTTCCCCGCTGGCCCTCGAAGCTTCTTGTCTGCGTGGCTTATATTTTCTGGACAGCGTTTCCCCCACTTGGGATCTTCCGAGCCACCCCACCTCTTAACAGCACACTTGGTGTCAAGCAGTTCTTTTTTCATATT